TAATACATTTGATACCATTGCCCCTCTGAAAAAGAAGGCAGTGAAACAGAGGAGGCTAGCCCCATGGTACAGCTTGCAGCTCCGCTCCCTAAAGCAGGCATCACGAAAAATGGAAAGGAGGTGGCGCTCCACTAAGTCAGAAGAGTTTTTCATAGCCTGGAAAGATAGTTTAATAACATATAAGAAAGCCCTTCATAGTGCCAGAACCGCATTTTATTCATCACTGATTGAGGAAAATAAGAACAACCCCAGGTTTCTTTTCAGCACTGTAGCCAGGCTGACAAAGAGCCACAGTGCTGTTGAGCTTAACATTCCCTTAGATCTCAGCAGCAATGACTTCATGAGCTTCTTTACAAATAAAATCACAACTATTAGAGAAAAAATTGGTCGGACCACTCCCACAGCTCTCGCAGATGTGCCATCTACTACAATGGCTTTAGAAACATCTGTAAGACCTCATTTATACTTGGACTACTTCTCCCCTATAGATCTCTCTGAGTTGACCTCAACAATTGCTTCATCTAAATCATCAACATGTCTCCTGGACCCCATCCCGACCAGGCTGCTCAAAGACGTCTTTCCCCTAATCAACACATCCATACTAGATCTGATTAACCTCTCTCTATTAACAGGTTATGTTCCACAGGCTTTTAAACTTGCAGTAATTAAACCTCTACTCAAAAAGCCTACTCTTGACCCAGGTGTCCTAGCTAATTATAGACCAATATCCAATCTCCCATTTATTTCCAAAATCCTTGAAAAAGCTGTTGCAAAGCAGTTATGTGACCACTTGCACAAGAATGATTTGTTTGAGGATTTTCAGTCAGGATTTAGAGTCCATCATAGTACAGAAACCGCATTGGTGAAAGTCACCAATGATCTTCTCCTAGCCTCGGACAAAGGACTTGTCTCCATACTTGTCCTCTTAGATCTCAGTGCTGCTTTTGACACCATTGATCACAGCATCTTACTGCAGAGACTTGAACATGTTATTGGGATTAAAGGAACTGCGCTAAGTTGGTTCAAATCTTATTTATCAGAAAGATTTCAATTTGTTCATGTTAATGACGAATGTTCCACACAAATTGAAGTTAGTCACGGCGTTCCACAGGGCTCTGTGTTAGGTCCAATTCTCTTCACTTTATACATGCTCCCTTTAGGCAATATTATCAGGAAGCACAACATAAATTTCCATTGCTATGCAGATGATACTCAGTTATATTTATCTATGAAGCCAAATGAATCAGGTCAGCTGGTCAAACTTCAAGCATGTCTTAAAGACATAAAGGCCTGGATGACCTGCAACTTCTTACTTCTAAACTCTGACAAAACTGAAGTTATTGTGCTTGGGCCTGAAAACCTTAGAAATCTGCTGTCTAATCATATAGTTACTTTAGATGACATAGCTCTTGCCTCCAGTACTACTGTGAGGAACCTTGGAGTCATCTTTGATCAGAATATGTCCTTTAAATCACATATAAGCCAAGTCTCTAGATCTGCCTTCTTTCACCTGCGCAATATTGCAAAAATTAGGAGCATCCTGTCTCAAAGTGATGCTGAAAAACTGGTCCATGCATTTGTTACTTCCAGGCTGGACTACTGTAACTCTTTACTATCAGGATGTCCCAATAATTCCCTAAAAAGCCTCCAGTTAATCCAAAATGCTGCAGCCAGAGTACTGACAGGAACTAGCAAGAGATATCATATCTCTCCCATATTAGCTTCTCTCCACTGGCTCCCTGTAAAATTCCGAATACAATTTAAAATCCTTCTCCTAACATACAAAGCCCTTAATGACAAGGCTCCATCGTATCTTAAAGACCTCATAGAGCTTCATCACAACAAAGCACTTTGCTCTCAGGTTTACTTGTGGTTCCTAGAGTCCACAGAAGCAGAATGGGAGGCAGAGCCTTTAGCTATCAAGCTCCTCTCCTATGGAACCAACTCCCAGTCTCAGTTCAGGAGGCGGACACCCTCTCTACCTTTAAGATTAGACTTAAGACTTTCCTTTTTGATAAAGCTTATAGTTAGGGCTGGATCAGGTGACCCTGAGCCTTCCCTTAGTTATGCTGCTATAGGCCTAGGCTGCTGAGGGGCCCCATGATGCTCTGAGTATCTCTCCCCTCTGGCTCCCCTGGAGCTCTACGTCTCTGACGAGCAGTCATCAGCCACATCGACCTGATCAGTGTTTGATTGTTGTGTCCTGTTGCTTTTCTTCTTTTGTCTCTCCTCTAGCCACTCACCCCAACCGGTCGAGGCAGAAGGCCGCCCACCAAGAGCCGGGGTCTGTCGGAGGTTTCTTCTGTTAAAGGGAGTTTTTCCTCCCCACTGTCGCCAAGTGCTTGCTCAAGGGGGATATGTTGGGTTTTCCTTATGTAATAATAGTGATAACAGTAACGTCTAGACCTTACTTTGTAAAGTGTCCTGAGATGACTTTTGTTGTGATTTGGTGCTATACAAATAAAATTTGATTGATTGATTGATTGATACACACAAGTAGTAGGCAATGAGTTAAAGCTGTGATCAGAGAACTTGGCAGTAAACAATATGTTTGTGATTAATGTGTGTTTTTACCTGGGATCAGAGGATGAAGGTGAAGGAGAGGAAGGAGGGTAGACAAAGTCTTTGCTGTAGCCCTGATTAGAGGTCCTTTCCCTAAGGAACACCAAAATATATAGAAAGTCACTTTCGGCTTTTTCCCGTTTTAGGGCTCGCCACAGCGAATCGTCACGCTGACGACTTGCATGTTGACATTTGGCATGTGTTTTATGTCAGATGCCCCTCCTGACGCAACCCTGACTTGAACCTGGGTCACAGTGGCGAGAGCGCTGCACCTTAACCACTAGCCTACCAGGGACGGCGAACACCAAAATGTATATATTATGAAAAAAGATATACAGAATAGTATTCCTTCATTAGGAATTAATGTAATGTATTCTTTCTGATGCCACCCTTGTCCAAGAGAGCTACAGCTGAACCAGGCACCACTGACCAAAAAGGCACTTGGCACATTTCTGGCCTACTGGGCAATACAATCAGTGCATGCTCTGCGTTCACAAAAATACAACCTAGGGTGAGAGTTTAGTTTTGAAGCAAATGAAAGGAATTCTTTTTGGATTTCTCTCCAGAATGTGGTCCGTGATGATGTGATCTCTGCAGTAGTTAGATGGACATGTTTTTCATTACCTGTACACTTCATTTTATTTGTGACATTTATAATGCAGTTCAATAATATTTTTTCTTTGGTTGGTTTCTCAAAGTTTCAATACTGTAGCATGTGGCCTACTTTCCTGCAGGTATAGTATATGTCAAACACATTTGCATACTGTGAAGAGAGGTGATTTCCTATCTGTGTTTGCTTGAAGATTATGTACCTCCATAGAGAAGAGATAAACTGATTCTCAAAAATCATAGCTGTCCTAGATGCTATTCAGACAGTAGTTTAGAAATTGGCCAGTACAATATACTGTCCTCTTCTAAAGCTTATGCTGCAACAGTTTAGAATTAATGTGGTCGTGACTGACCTACCTGCTGTTCTCCAGGCTAGAGAAGGGGTTAACCAGGTCAGGCATGGCTGAGGGGGAGGTGCCTACTGTTGCCATAACAACCAGTTCTGGGTCCAGGATGAAGATCTCTTCCTGGGAGATTTCTGATACATAGTTGAGATGTTCCTGACAGAACATAAAACACAGGACAATTTCAAACAAACAGTAACCATGTCTACCTCCTTAAAAAATATATTAATTTTAAGTTTCTTATTTCATGTATGTGTCAAAGAGGATTAGGGCCATTGTAAAATAAAACTGACTTGATCTTTGTTCTCAGAATTGTGACTTTAAAGCTGACTTTTAAAAAAAAGTCAATTTTGAGAAAAAAGTCAGAACTCTTTTTTTTTTTAGTGGCACTAATCCTCTTCCATACATAAGAATGTTATCAAAACTAAACAAAAATCTGTAACTGCTGCATAGCTGCAACTATAAAACTAATGTAACTGCAGGCAGCTTTGCTGCTGATCTTTTTTTTAATTGCTACATTTACATCAAAAGATTTTGATACACTCTACTTCATCACATGGTTTTTTTCACCTAAAATACTGCAATATCTTGTGATATTGCAGATTTTTTTTCTGCTTGATTTTTTTTCTGCTTTTACATAACTCAAATAAAATGCTTGACCAGTGACTAACCAAAACATTTTTTAAAGTTAAATATTGTCATAAAGCAGCTCAGTGACTTGAAACATTGTCAGGAATAAGCTTAGATATTACAGAAAAAACACTACAAACAGTAGCCAGATTCAGTAGTAGCCTGTTTGGTGTAGAAACCACTTGTCAGGGTAATGTGCCAATATGCTTTCACTGCCCTGACAATAGGGATAATTAAGCAGCTGGCAAAAAATCTAATTCTGTTCATGCTGTTATACATCTGCCAATACATGTTAAGTGGATCGTATGAATCAAACTGATCAGTGAGTGTTCAGTAGGTATATAACTGCTTTTATTCTCTGTACAGCCATCTCGGGGATGGCTATGGCTCAGGAGGTAGAGCGGGTCGTCTCCAAACTGGAAGTTCAGCGATGTGATTCCCAGCTTGTCTGGTCCACATGTCGAAGTGTCCTTGAGCAAGACAATGAACCCCCAGTTGCTCCCGGTGATGACACCAGTGTGTGAATGTGTGAGTGCAAATGGGTGAATGGCCAAATAGTGTGAAAACGCTTTGAGTGTGCTGCAATGCATAGAAAAGCGCTATACAAGTATAAGACCATTTACCACTCACAGATGAGGTTTTAGTAAGTGAATCAGGCCCCTTATATATGAAATATGTAACTAAAGGTTGGAGCCATCTTGGGTGAGATAAACATACCTGCGCTCTGTCTATCCTGTAGAAACGATCTGCTGTTGTAGCTGCAGAGAAACAGAAACAATGTTAACAGTGTCACAAGACAAGGTAGTATCATCACACTGTGAAAAAGCACATTCAGTCAATTGATCTCTCTCAAGCAGTAAAACTGAAATTTTATGCCATTATATAATGGAGAGCTCTATACCTTAATTTAATAACATAAATAAAAAAACAATAAAATAGGGCTGTACCCAACTAAGGATTTTGTCAGTCAACTGTCAGTCGGTTCTTCAGTGCAACTATTC